CAAGTGCCCATTAACTCATCAAAGTGGGGATTCCAAATTGATTATTTCGAGTGTAAGACTTAATAACATGTTCATCGTGGGAAATAATTAGTGGTGGAGAGGCCGGGAGGGCCCGCTGCCGGCCTGCCTGCTCCCACGGCCAGCCACATCCCCGGGGAGCGGGGGACTCTGGTGGACCTTCCCCGGGCCCAGACCCTCCTGGGTGGCGGGCCACCGCACCCCCTCCCCCGGGCACCCCCCCCCCCCCCCCCCCCCCGCCGGGATTGGCGAGGCTCCAGCGCGAGCCGGCTCGGGTGACAGGCGCTTCTCACTGGCTGAGCGCGGGCCGCAGCCCCGGCACCTCCTCACCGTTGCCTTGGAAACCGAGCTGCTCCGCCGCGTTCAGCTGACACCCGCGCGCGCACACACACGCCCCGCGGGAAGGTCAAGAGCAGCGGGTGGGGGGGGTCAGCTCTTCCCGCTCCACCCCTCCCCGCAGAGCGCTCGACCCCTGGTCCAGGCCCCCCTTGGATGGGGAGGTGCCCGTCCCTGGGGGAGGGGTACCGGGCCACACTGGTAGAGCCCCCCGCCCCCACCTCCAGCCCCCGCCCTGTCTGCTGAGGTGGCAGGCTGAGCAAGATGTTTATGGGCGGTTCCTGGGAAAATGACTCCTTCGGGTGCGAGGGGAGCTGGCGGCTTATGAAATGGGGCAGGGGCTCTGGAAGCATCCTGGCAGCCTTTGGTGGTGGGGGTGGGGAGGGTTTGATTCAGATCTGTGTCCTCTTGGGGTGGGAGCCCGGACCTGCTTGGGAAGGCTTCTCTCCTGCCCTGCCCACCCCCCAGCCAGCTCTCTGGCTCTCTCCTTTCCCATCTGACCTCACTGTATTTCATACCTTAGGTAAAAGTCACTCCTAACAGAAAATATTTGGGAGGAGACAGTTCTCACCTTGATGGGGGGCCTCCCAGACCCACTCCCTCTAGACCCAGGAAGCCCATTTCCTGCTGGACTCTCAGCTAAGTCTCCTGAACTTGACTTCAGCGGGAGGGAGCAGCTTCCCAGTCACTGGGGAGGTCTCTGATGGCTGTATTCCTTCTTTCCTTCCAGCCCGCTTTTCAAAATCCTTTACACACCTACTGGGTGCCAATCAACCTCTGTCCACAGAACTAGGTTCCTGCTCTGGTCAGCAGAGGCAGAAAAGAAACCAACACTAAGAGAGAGAGAGAGAGAGAGAGAGAGAGAGAGAGAGAGAGAGAGAGAGAGAGAAAGAGAGAGAGAGGGAGAGGGAGAGGAGACAGAGAGGGAGAGGTGCTCAAGCTGAGTTAAAGAGTTAAAGTGTTAATAACATAGGGCGATGTGGTATGAACTAGTAGGGGGTTACTTTATATGGGGTGGCCAGGGAGGGCCTCTCTGAGATGACATTCAAACTGAAATTTCAGTGACAATAGAGTCATTATTGTGAGGAAACTTCGAGACAGAACAGCAAATGCGAAGACCTCAAAGTGGGGGCCAAGCTTGGCAGGTGCAAGGAACAGAGGAGGGGTCTCCTCGGTGACCTGGGTGGACATAGAGCTAGCCAGAGCTTGGATCTCCTTCCAGGAGGTGTGGACTGACTGGGATGGGGGTAACCTGATGTGATTTTAAAAACTTTGACTCCCATTCCAACACTTGAGCCACACCATCAGTCCTTTTGCTTTTTAGTTTGTTTTTCAGATAGGGTCTCAGCAACTTTTGCCCAGACTGGCCTTGAACCACAGTCCTCCTGTCTCCACCTCCTGAATAGCTGGGATTACAGGTGTGTACCGCCCTGCCTGGCTTAAAAAACATTTTAAATTGTAGTAAAATGTGCATAATATAAATGTACCATTTTAACCAGTGTACGGTTCATTCTAAGTGCTGTGCAGCCATCACCACCATCCATCTCCAGAACCTTCCCATCTTTCCAAACTGAAAATCCCTCCCCATTAAACACTAAGTCCTACCCCTCCCCCAGCACCACTCTTCCTGTCTCTGGGTTTGACTGCTCTGGAGGCCTCCTGTAAGTGGAACCTTACGCATTTGTCCTTTGCCCATGTCAGGGTTTTCTTCTTTTTAAAGTCAGCAGTCCAAGATGTCCTGGGATCTGGTCACATAGGCACCTTCTGCCCACCCTACCTATGTCTGAGTCCCCTGGCACCAGACAGCCTGAATTCCAGCCCGGACTGACACTGAGCATCTCTGGGTCTCACCTTCCCCTTCTGTGAGCTGGGAAGTCAGCATCATCACTTCCCAGGGCTGTGGGAGGACCAGCTGAGATAACAGGTGTTGAACTTGGAGCATGCACTAAAATTCTAGACTTCCAGAAGGAAAGCAGTTGCTCCCTATGAAGCACACTGTTTGCACAAAGGGTCTAGGCTCAGTAAGCCCCCATCTGCAGGGGCCAGGACAACCCTCCTAAAGCCCCATGTACCTGGACACTAGCCAGGACCACTAACCCTCCCAGTGGCCTCTCTGAAGACCACAGTCTCAGGCCTACTGCTCCTCTCTTCTGCACAGGGAGAAGAACACTATTTCCCTGTGGAGTCATTTCATTTCTGGGTGTAGGATTTAGTGTCTTTCACATGTTTATGTCCTGCTAGCTGGCACAGAACCCACATGGGAGTGCAGGTCCCCCCACTTCGCTCCGTATGGAGGAAGCCTGAAGTCTCAGTGGGAAAGCTGCAGGAGAAGAGTGGCAGCCTTGATTGCAGGGGGGTTGCACTCCTCAGAGGATCTGGCTGGAGCTTCCTGCATGGATATGTGTGCCTCTGGAAAAGCTCTGGGGTACCCGGGGAGGGAGAGACTGCTTCAAGGTGGAAAGTGGGAGGCTCTCCCTGGGTCAGAACAGCAGCACTGCAGCCTCTTTGCCCACCTGCTGCAGGCTCTGAGGGGCAATGCCTCTGAGTTCACCCCAAGTGAAAATGGAGGTACCAGCTCATCCCAAAAGCATCAGAGGCTTCCTTTGAGCTCAGTGCCAAGCCAACCACTTGACCCATATATTGGAGCTGTTTTGCCACCATCTTGTAAGGTGACACTGCTGTTTTCCCATCTTACAGAAGGGGAAAGTGAGACCCAGATAGGCTTATTTGCCCAGTGTCAGTCACGACTGGGGTCCAAGCTGTCTGGCTCCAGGGGCTTAGCCCTACACTCTACTGCCAACCCAGAGCTAGTGATCCCTTCAGTCCCTGGGGAGGGCCACCTGCCCAGGCCCTGCCATTGGTATTGTGTTTTGCTTGTAATCAGTGTCTTGGTTCCATTACCTGTACCTCCAGGTGAGCTCTCTCTACCCTCTCTCTACCCTCAGAGGCTGAAGGCTTGGGTCTCTGAAAGCAGTCACAGTAGTAGTGGCAGCAGTAAGAAGAGGCTGGGGAGGAGGAAGAGCTAAGGGCTGTTGCTAAGCACTGGCCACACACTACCTTTTGCAAGAAGCTCTTCTCAGTTCTCCCACTTACACATAGAGAAATTGAGGCTCCACGGGGTTAAATGATTTGTTCAAAGTCAAGGTAAGTGTGGGAGCTGAGGCTGGAACCCAGCCTGCTGTGCCCCAGATCCTGACCTCACCCCTAAAGCCTCACGGGGTCTACAAGGTTCCCTGTATCAGTTCCATGGTCGCATATGTGTGGATGAGAGCTGGGTCTGGGTGGGACAGGTGGCATCCCTGGTGGCTTGGCAAGTCTCTCCCAGGTAGGAACCCCTGATTCAGATGCGGAGGGGTTCCCAGGTAAGAACCCCTGATTCAGGGCTGGTGACTCAGGCTGGTCCCAGGGGCATCTCTAGGGACTTCTCTGTGGTCTCATCCTGCAGCTGGTCACTAATCAATTCCTTTTGCCCTTGGCTGTTCTTTTGTGGTACCATTGGTTCATGGGAAGCCTGTGATTCCCCTAAATGTGGGCTGGTGAATCAATTCACCATGACTTACCTCTGAATACAATATCTCCTCAGGCACAAGTGGGTGGTGACCAGGATGGAGGAGGGAGCCAGACCAGATGAGTGGTCTTCCACCTCCTCCTCTTCTTACTGGTTGGGTCTTGGTCTTTTGGGCTCAAATCATTTTACCTCCACTACCTGTATGACGTTCCTCTCCAGCTACCTCTCCTCTTATGGAATTGGAGGCCCGGAGGAATGGGGTGACTGGTCTCAATGGGTGACTGTCCTCAGCCAGACTGAGGCAGAGCTCGTGACAGTGGTAACCTGGACTCTGTACTGTGCCGCTTATCTCAGCTTCTACGCTTGGCGGGTGGAGTTCCAGGAGCAATGCCTGTCTCTGCTGCTCCTCTGCAGGAAGAATCCATGCTGTTCTGTGTTCTCTCAGGGGTCTCCTTGTTTGCCCCCAGGCTGCTCTGAGTTCCTTCAAGACCTGGACAGATGTGCTGGGAATTAAAGCTTGCAGGTACATCAAAGGTGCTGGTTAAAAATGCTGGTGATGCCAGGCGCCAGTGGCTACTCAGGAGGCAGAGATCAAGAGGATTGCAGTTTAAAGCCAACCCAGGCAAATAGTTTGCAAGACCCTATTTTGAAAAAAAACATCATAAAAAAGGGCTGGTGGGGTGGCTCAAAGTGTAGGCCCTGAGTTCAAGACCCAGTACTGGAAAAAAAAAAAAAAGCAGGTTAAATCTGCCCAGGTTTTCCTTGCTCTCTGGTGGCCAGGATTATATTCTTAGCTAGCAGTCCCTGCCTGGGGTTGAAGAAGGATGAATCTTGTTCTGGTAACTCAAGGTCAATTCCCGCTTCTTTCTGTGGCTGGAACCATTGGAACAGGTCTTAGGTCCAGTGGGATAGAAACACCTCAAAAGACATATTTTTTGTTCATTCTGTTCACTGCAATTTCCCCAGCCTGTTGAACAGCCCCTGCACGTAGTTGGTTCTCAGTAAGCTAGCGGGGACTGAAGGGGCTCAGGAAATACCCTTCCCCACACCCTCCCTTACTTTCCTGTCTTGGCTCTTTTTAACTCCACTGAAAGAGTCTAGGTTGCTTTTCCGGCAGTGACAACCTCCTTGTGAGAACATGCCTCTTGCAGAGGATCTCCTTCATCCCTCTCCAGAGGAGGTGACGAGGAAACACAAGAAGAAGCGCCTGGTGCAGAGCCCACCCTCCTTCATGGGTGTGAAGTGCCCAGGATGCTGTAAAATCACCACCGTTCTTAGCCACACACAAATGGTAGTTTTGTGTACTGAATGCTCCACTGTCCTCTGCCAGCCCACAGGAGGAAAAGCAAGACTGACAGAAGGATGTTCCTTCAGAAGGAAGCAGCATTAAAAGCACCCTGAATCAAGATGTGGGGGAAACCATCCCAATAAACCCATCCTGGATATACAGCATTTGTCCTAATTGCTAGGCAGTTCCTTCCCCAAGCCTTCAGGGGGAACTAGAGTGGGGGAAGTAAGTGGCCAATTAGTTAAAAAGTCCATTTAGGACATTTTTATCCAACTAGGCTTATTGGGTAAATCTTGAGCTTGATTTAAAAATTAGGATGCTATAAAAATGGGATCTTTACTTCCACTTCTGTTTCCTTAGTATTAAGAACTGACTGTTAATCTTTATAGTACAACCCAGCACTGTTTTAATCAAAAAGAAACTGTTCACGATCCTTTTTAAAAAAAGAGTCTAAATCTGCGTGGAAACTTGGATGGGGAAGGACTGTGTTTCCTTTCACCTTCGTTTGCAGAGAATCAGACAGCTGGGAACCCTGGTCTGAAGCGACACAGTGTCTTAGATAGCTTAGTATGATCCACAGCCTTGGGTGTCAGGAGTCAGCCATGAGTGGTGGCTGTAGAAGACCCTGGCTGATGGAAATAACATTTGATAAGCAGGGTGAGAGCGCCTTCTCCCCCTCACTCTTTAGATACTCGGTATTCTTTATGGCTTTGCTCAGGTAGATCACTCATTGCCGTAAATTTTCTTATCTACATTGCTTTCCAATTATGGATAACAACAGAAACGCCGTCATTGGTTTCTTAAAGGTCATGAAGATATAGAGCCCATTTGGGAAGGGGCTGACTTATGCAGTTGGCTTGTATAAATCTGGGGAAGTTTTATGCACAAGTCAGACAAGAAATGTAAGTGAGATTCATAAAATATATAAAGATTTATGGGCACTCGACTGATGAAAATTGCCTTTCCTTTTCTGTTTGTGTGGGAATTATTTGTTCTGTCCCAGTGTTTTACATATGGTTCATTGTGAGCCCACAAGTCCTTACGAGGCCTCTGAAAATGACTAGTGGCCTCCTAAGGGCACAGTGGCCTCATGCAACATCCACCGGAGCATCTCAGAAGCCCTGGCTCCTTTAAAACAGTCTTTCTATGCAGCTGTCACACTTCTAATAGCTGCCTAGAGAGCAAACAAATGCCTCCATAGGCATCCAGCAGGCTGCTCGTAAGGCCCTCCTTCTGGGATTTGAGGGTTGAGACACACTGACCTGCTTTGCATTTCCTTGTGTGTGTGTGTGTGTGTGCGCGCACAGGGTCTTGCTATATATCCTAGGCTAGCCTTGAACTTGCAATCCTTCCACTTTAGCTTCCGGATTAGCTGGAATTAGCATATTGGGAAGCTACCAGGCCCGGCTCCCAGTATTATTTTGATACCATCTGTGTTGGAACCACTGCAGATTCCCAGGCTCACCCCAGAGAGCTGGATTTTATTAGTGTGAGGTTCGGTCTGGGCACCAGACTTTTGAAGAAGTTCCCAGAGGTTCACATATACCTGTCCAGCACTTTGTTCTCTGCTAGGTGGGGGCCTATGTCTGTCTTTCTCCAGGGACCTCTTGTCCATCCCTCCCCAGCTCTTGGCAGCGCTTGGCAAGAGAAGTGATTCAGACATAGGACATGACTGGTGCCACCAGCCACAGCTGCTCTGCCATGGGCCAGACAGGGTCCTCCCACCCCTGGCCTCAGGAATGGGACCCCAGGTTGACAACACCAGTACATGCCCAAGAGTCTGAGGTGACCATACAGTAGGGCCGGGCCTTAGGAAGTGACCTCATTCTTACATTCTTTTCCCCCATATTTCCTCATAATACAAAGGCTCAAAACAATTCAGGCCCTGGAGCCAGAGAGTCCTAGGTTCAAATCTTGACTCAACCGTTTGTGATTTGTGTAAATCTGAGCGAATGGTTGAAACCAGCTGTGCTCAGCACCCTCGTCCATGCAATGGGGTAGTGGCAGTGGCAGTCTTGTAGATGTGTGGACCTTAAATAGGAAGAAGCACTGCACATCTTCCTCACTGGGTAGCCCAGCCTCTGTGATCAGAATTCCCTCCACCATTACTCTGTCTCCTCTTTCTTTTTTGGTGGCACTGGAGTTTGAACTCAGGGCCTCACACTTGCTACACAGGTGCTGTACCACTTGAGCTACTTCATAAGCCCTTTTTGCTTTGGTTATTTTTGAGATAGAATCTCACTTCGATCCTCCTGTTTGTGTTTCCCCAGGTGCCTGGGATGACAGGCATGTGCCACTGTGTCCAGTTATTGGTTGAGATGTGGTCTTGTGAACTGTTTGCCCAGCCTGGTTTGGAACTATGATCCTCCCGAATAGCTAGGATTACAGAGGTGAGCCACTGCACCTGGCTCTGTATCCCCTCTTTTTTTCCAGCCTTCTGCTGTGTTCTATTATGGCTTGCTGAAATTAGGGTTTTTGGTTTTTTAATGGTACTGGGGTTTAAACTCAGGACCTCACACTTGCTAGGCAGGTGCTCTACCACTTGAGCCACTCCTCCAGCCCTCAGGTTTGCTGAAATTAAATCAGAGCACACAGGGGAAACAGGACCTAACTGTGCCCTGCACATAGCAGGCATCTTATAAATAGCTACCCCCTTCAGGTAGCATTCCCAGTTCTCTTCTCCCTCCCGTGGGACCTGGCACAGCACTGGGCTGGCAGTAGGCCCTCTGTAAGGGACCCAGCATTGGTGTTTGTCCTTGACCCTCACCAAGAGAGTGGCCCAAAGCAGTTCTAGGGAGAAGTCTCTGTTGCGTGGGGAAGTGTGGCAAGGAGGCTCAGCCATGAGGAGGCACCTTGGTGAGGGGACTCAGTTTCTGCACAGTTGAGAGGCAGAACTGGAATTGCCTTTCTGTTCTTCCCCCCTCCCACCCCAGTACCCCATCTTATCCTTGTGGTGCCACAGTCCCTCACCCCTTAGTCTGACTCAGGGCTTGTCTGACTGCTACACCTTCAGGGGCCACAGGGTGGATGGGACCAACTGTCCCCCCACAGGCTCCAGGACAGAGGACCTCTGTGCGGATGCACCAGCTCTCTGCAGATTGATGGGAGCTGGTAGTTGGCATGCAGGTGTTCGTCACATTGGAGGGTGACAAGAAGAATTGTGTGTCTGGCCTGAGATGACAAAAGCTGAGAATGGGAGGGCAGAGTCACTGTGTCATTTTCCAGCACCATTTTCCCTCCACTTACTGTTCCTGTAGATTATGGGACCCAATGACCTGATGGCTGGCAGCGATGCTTTATGGTAGCAGGGTGTAAGGTTTTAGGAGAGGGAAAAAAGTAACTGTGAACTTTCTGTCCTACAAAGCCCCTCTTTGTCTGTGGAATGCAAAGTTGGTGGTGTTGTGCTTTTCTCGGAAATGTTCTCATGTCAGGAAAAAGACTTACAAACCTCTTTGACAGGCAAGGAAAATGAGCAGAATTCCCCCAACCTTGACCTTCCTTCCACCTGGGAGAGATAGGCGGGTGGGCGGCATGTCCCTTGCTCTATAGTTCCTTGGTTCCACAATCAGGAAGGCCTACGGAAAGAGATAAAACTCTCTCTCTCTCTCTCTCTCTCTCTCTCCTCTCTCTCTGTCTCTCTTGGAGGGACCCTATCCCAAGCCCTGTGTGTCCTGGAGCCGCATTTGCAGTTTTGGCAAGGAGGAACAGAAAAATAAACCAAGGTCACATTCCAGTATCCAGCAGCTCATGAGAAGATGGTCAGCTTTCTTAGTTCTTAGAAAAATGCAAATCAAAACCACAGTGATCTCCCAGCTACTCGGGTGGTGGAGACCTGGAGGATCAGGTTCAAGGCCAGGCATGGTAGTGTGTGCCTGTGATCCTAGCTATGTGGAAGGTCTTAGGTAAGAGAATCACGGTCCCAGGCTGGCCCTGGACAAAACACAATTTTCTATAGCATGAAGGGCTGGGGGCATGGCTTGCATGGTAGAGCACCTGCCTAGCAAGCACAAGGCCCTGAGTTTAAACCGCAGAACTGCCAAATGAAAGGAAACAAAACAAAGCAGCCACAAAAAATAGATGCCACTTCACAATCACTGGGATTGGACAGAATCAAGACAAATATAACAAAAACTGTCAAGGATGAGGAGCAATTGGAGCCCTCATGCATTCCTGGTGGGAGTGTCCTTGGGAAACACTTTGGTGGTTCCTCAAAAAGTTAAACAGAATTACCACAGGACCCAGCAATTCCACTCCACTGTATGTACCCCAAAACATTGAAGATGAATACTGATACACCAACACTATTCATAACCACTGAGAGCTGGGAACAACGTACGTGTCTGTTAACAAATCAATGAATAAATAAATTGTGGTATGTAAATACAATGGAATACTATTTAGCCGTTAAAAGGAATAAAGTACTGGTACATGATGCCATGTGGACGAACCTCAAAAACATTTTACTAAGTAAAAGAAACTAGTCACTTATTGGATGATTTTGTAATGTCCAGAACAGAGAAATCCATAGAGACAGAAAGTAGATTGGTGGTTGCCAGCAACCACCTGGGGGAAGAGGACAATGGGGAGTGACTACTTATGGGGAGCAGGATTTCTGTGTTGGCTTTCTGTCACTATAACAAAACACCTGAGAGTATTAACTTATGAAGACAAAAGGTTTATTTTGGCTCATGCTTTTAGAAGTTCCAGTCTGTGATGGGGTATACCCATTGCTTTTAGGCCTCTGGTGGGAGTGGGTACCCGGGAGCAACTGTTTACCTCATGGCCTGGAAGCAAAAGGGGAAGAGAAAGAGGCTGGGGTCCTACAATCTTCTTTGGGACAGGCCCTCAGTGACCAAAGGGCCTCCCACAGGCCCCTCCTCCTTTGGTCCACAACACCTTCCAACAGTGCCACCCTGGGGACCCAGCCCTTGGGGAACATTCAACATTCAAACACTAGTGGTTTCTTTTTAGGGTGATGAAAATGTTCTGGAGGACTGGGGTGTAGCTCAGGGGGAGAGTGCTTGCCTAGCTTGCAGAAGGCCCTGGGTTCATCCCTAGCTCTGGAAAAAAAAAAAAAAAAGCATGGAATTTGACAGAGGTGT